CAGTTTAATGCAAGCAGGCGTATGACTCCCGCTGACTTTAAAATAGGCTTATAAGACCTTTGAAGCTTTTTTCCCCGGCACTTTTTTCAGTAGGAGGAAAGCTTTATATTCTGTGAAAGCCACAGGACCCTGCTGGACAAAATGGCAACCCCCCACATTAGGGTATTTCAAAAGTAATACCGCTATGACCATTAACAAATCAGAGAGCAAGGGAAGAAAATGGATAACAGTTCAGAAAAAGAAAGGAAGGCAAATAGGAATGAAAGCAGAACTCAGACTTCCACTGGCTAAAACAGATTTCAAACATATAAATAATGTATAAACATATAAAAATCTGTTTATAGATCAGAATGGAGAACAGGAGCTGCACTGTCTATCTTGAAAGCGAGTGGAACAGCAGCAGAGCAGGTATTGTCCATTATTCAGCGCCTGCAAACGTGGTCACCATTAACCGTTTCACTGAAACGAAATTAAAAGGGGGGTGGGGGTGGGGGGTGTCACCCTCGCAGCCCACGGACACACAGACAAGGTTTCCTGCCTTGAAAACGTCCACCTTGGCGTTGGTTCAGCATTTCTTGAGGAACCCTGAGGTCTCCCGTTTTGTTTCACTGACCTCTGCTAAATGAAAACTCAACTTGGAAATGTACAGCAGAAAATAAAATCGGTGGCCCTGTGGGGGGAAAAAAAAATAAATTCACAGATCTATTTAACTTTATTTATTTGTTCTTCATTTTGATAGCACATCTCAATCACGCTTGCTAATTAGATCTTACAAGATCTTTCCCCTGCACTGGGAAAGATGCAAAAAACGGTCATGCATAAGATATTGAATGCATTCACATCAAGTATGTCATACTTTGGGGGTTTCAACATCATAAATAAGAGAACAGTAAACCAGCTGGTTTGGGGTTTGTTTTTGTTTTTGTTTTTTTTTAACATCGTTTCAGATCATAGCAGCTTAAAAGGTTTAACACAGGTTAACCTACTTCTAATATTTTTATTGGAAAAAGTTTCTAATAAAGTTTGGTAAAAGATTAAAAAAAAAAATACCCAAACTCTACAAAAGCATGTTTTAAAGATAAAGCGTTTCTTTTTAGTTTGTGGGGCTTAAAGCCCACAATGGTCTTCCTGCTTTGGCTAGGGATGCAATTTTGGAATTACTTAGCTGAAGGTTCGGAAGTTCAACTTATTTGTGACTTTTATGCACCATGAAACACCTTTAAATGGCGCCAGATTTTCAGAAATGCCGAACAGCCAGCCTTTAAGAGGTCCTACGCTAGGGAGGATAAACCTCCATTTATTCCTGTGAATATTGGCCAAAATACCGGGGACCTGCTAATATAGTTCCCGGGGCTATGCAAGTAGGTTACAAAGGACTATAGGTTCTGTTATGCGAGCTATTTTTTATTTATTTATTTTTTAAAGCTTACATTTGAATGCTTTGACGGTCATCAGGAACAAGATACTCTTGCAATGGATAAAGTCAAATTATAGGAGGGGGGTGGGGGGAGAAGCAATCTTCAAAAAGCGGTTAGCCATAGTCGTTGGTTTAACGAAAAGACAAGTAGCCAACTTTACTGACTATCTTCTTTTAGAAGACTAACTTCTTGCCACGCACAGGTGTAATATTGTTAGAAATCCTGATGCTACAATATGCAAAGTGCCCTAAACCGCTTTGTGAAATAACCACAGTGCCGGGTACGCCCGAGGAAACATTTCAGGAAACGTAGGACTAAACACATGGACAAATCGAGGTGTTGTAACATGCATTAATCTTAATCTCTTGCTCTCAGGCGGCAGCTTTCTGTCCCCATACCTGCCGGCCCCGGCGGAGCTCTCAGCCGAATTAGCGCTCTGCCGCCGGCAGCTGGGAACAACCCTCAACCTTTAACTGCAGGCACGGGAACTGCGTGCAAAGGAGAACACCACAAAATAGGAGGAAAACTGACTATGGACTAACGCTTACTTCAAGGTTTACACTGAATTTGAATCGAGTGTCTTGTGCAGCTATATATGAAAAGGTCTTTTTATAGCTGGAACTCAGACCTCTTTTTCTATGTTATAGGATCCATCACATATCCTTGCAGCTATCACGTACTTAAACCATAGCGCCGCCTGATAAAAGCGGTCAAGATATTTCGACAGAACTAGTTAATACTGTAACATCTCATCCAAGTTGTGCTGCGACCCTGGATGTCGCGTCAAGCTGGTGACGACTTAGTAAACACATTCAGTCCAGTTATATACTTACTACCATTTCTTGTGTGTGCCAAGACTTTAATGTGCTTCAGTGCATGAAGGAAATTTACAACCGACTCCATGAATATATATATATTCTCCAGCTTTCCATTTCATTTCAGTTAAACAACAAAAAAAACCCCAAAAACCAGCAGCAATTATATTATAGCTTCATAGCAGCTATTTATAACTTAGCTATAAACAAATGCTGTTCTAAAGCTTTGCAGACAGCTGTCAGGAAAACTTAATTATTATAGAATTTATAGGAATATTAGCCACTTTTTTTTCCAGTACTACAGTTACCACTATCTTTTAATGAGAGTGGGTGGATATAAATTACATCTTCTCTGACATGGGTTTGCTCTTTAAGTGGGAAAGCCAGGAAGAAGCCTGTTGTTACAACTCAGTGTAACGGTATTTTTTTTCTTTTTTTTACTCTTCAAATCCTAATTTATAGTCAGGTAAATGGAGCTGTCTCCACAGAGGGGAAAAGACTCTGGAGCAGATTAGTAATTTGTCTTATGAATGGACAAAACAGACAGTGACCAAAGTTATAAGTGCAAATTATATCTACTGAAGTTGCGTTTATGGGGGAAAAGGAGGAAAGAGGGTTTAAATCCAGAAAAAAAATGTTAATTCTTCTGCAGTGTCAACTGGCTATCTTGACCAAAATTTATCCTGATTCAGACTGTCACTCAGCTGCTATAATTCCACCGAGCCTTTGTAATGATCTAAATGGAAGAGGAATCTGGGCCCCTGTTGAGAAAGCTTTGCCTTGTGAACCTGTGCCCAGAAATGAGTTTCAGCCTGCGTGACTGAGCCCACATCGAGGACTTGCTCATTAATAGCTTTTCTTAATACATACAACCACATTAACAACCTGATGTTTCTAGGAAGCAATGATTCAGCAAAGCCATTCCCTTATTTAAATACCAGTGAAAGTGGACTGGTCTGCATATATTTTTAAATGACAGAAGGCAATTTGATTGACCAGTGCCTTTTTTTTTTTTTCTTTCTTCCTTTTGTTTTTTTTTTTAAAGAACTTTTGAGAACACTGCCATAAGAAACGCTCTCATGAAATTGCCTTTGCCGTGATCTCCCAACAGCCAAGCAGCCTCACCTGGCGGTACTCTGAGAGGAGCCAGGACAGAGATGAGCCAACTGCCCAGGAGGAGCGGCAGCGCCACCCGTCATGGGGCAGGCTGCTCGGGGCCAGCTACGAGAGAAGTCAAAAGCTACGGGAACCGTTCAGTGCCCGCCAGTCACCATCACATCCCTGCGCTTCATCAACACCTGCGGATTCAGCTTCACAGCTCCCTTGTGAGGTAGGAAATTCCAGCTCCTGCTCTTGCAGAAGAAGAAAGCGAGGCATAAGGAGACTCAGTTGTTCTCCTGGGGTCCCACAGGAACTCTGTGCTAAAGCTGAGGATGAATTTAATCCACTAGTTTGGTCACGGGGCAGCCTTTCTCTCCTCTTTGCCTAGAAACACTGGGCTTTTGACACAGCCTTCATTTCTTCAAGCAGTAAGCATCCTGGACAACAGACACTGTTGCAAGTGGTTTCACTTCCCTGTCCTGCTCGTCTGGAATTTACAGACGAACTCAAACTGCAGAGATTTGTTGCACAACAGTAACATCACCTTACCTAGCATCTGGGTCAGTCTACAAGACAAAGTTTAACTGCAAAGCTCAGATTTAAATCTTCCATATACATTACAGCCCACTTCTATCTGCTTGCTTCCCTCCTTCCAGGAAGCACGAAATAGAATAAACACTACAAGCACAAAAGAGAAGTCAACGAACAAAAACTACTATTAATTACAAACATTAGTGCAAACCACACAGTAGATTTTTAGTACGTTCAGTATTTTCTGTAAGGAGGTCATGAAGCTGAGGCTTTAAACACAGATAAAGTCACATTCTTTAGCCAAAGAAGTAGTCAGCTCTGAAGCTCACTCACATAAACAACCTGGATTCTGCTGCTACACATAGTATTTTTTCCTATGTATCTGTATGGATGCTGTAATACTTTTTATTGAAAATATATTTAGTCCTGTGCTTTTATAAAATATAAATAAGTAAAAGGCAATAAAGACCAAATTCCAAAGCTGAATTACATGTTTGGCTAGGAGACTTGTCTAGCATCATCTTAACTGCCTAAAAGAGCTTTTTCTTTCCTTTTTTTTTTTTTTTTTTTAAATATTTATACGAGTCATTTGTCTATGTGCCTAAAAGCCAATACCTAAATCCATGCTTGACATTCAAATGCATGGCTCTGCTCTCAAAGGTGAGAGTGCTCACACTTTCTTTGACATCAAGTGCTCACCACTGCTGAGAACTAGCTCCCACTTTTACATATTCAGATGTAAATGTAGGTGTTTGGCTTTACCTCACATCCTTTGAAAATTGGGGCCTTTGTGCCTAATTAAGAGTCAAACCTTGAAAAGTTCCAGCCAGTTAAGAATGCTACAGGAATGCTGATCTCCCTGCTCAACATTTGTTTATGTTTGGCAATTGTCATCTGCAAGAAGGTGGGGAAAAAAAAAAAATATATAAAGTTTGCAGAAGTATTTCTCAGTATCCTTTGCTGGGCGAGGCCAAGGGAGCTAGTGAATGCTGTAGTTAGTGGTCTGTCACCCCCAGCAGCTGCAGCTGATCAGATGAAGTCTGAATTTGGAAAAGTGCACTTTTTCATTGCTTGCTCTTTTGCAAGAACAGATGCCAGAGTTGCACACCCTGTGTCTTCTAGAGAGACTTTCTCTTCAGAGGTTTTCATCCAGCCATTTTATATAGCTGTTTCTGGTCTGAATGCCCGCAGAGAAATCAGTAGGCCAAATGGTGAATATCATACAGCCATGAAAGCAGTCATCAAAGTGATCGAGCGTGACTTCCACACCGGCTTTCTCCAAGCGCTTGGCGTACATCACCCCGTCGTCTCGCAGGACGTCGTTCTCACAGGTCAGGATGTAAGTCTTTGGCTGCAGCTGCAGAGTTTCATTTTCCGCAAGGAGCGGGACTGCCCGTACATCAAGCAGCGCTGGTATCTGCTGGACGATTTCGGCCTTGCCTGTGGTTTGTATCACAGGCTTGTAGTTCTTTTTGAAGGACGAAGGCAGTAGAGATGTCCAGTTCAGACGTCCTCTGAAAGAGAGAGCTTGGCCAACGTCAAGAGCAGTGTGGTTGTTAATCAGCAGCGAGTGAGCCAAGTCATAATTACCATTGAAATAATCTATCCAATAGTTGATCATGACATAACGAGGCAGAACGGGCATATTCATGTTCTGCTGATAAGAAGGTGTATTGAAGTCAAATGCCTGAAGGACTGGGTAAATTAAGGCCTGCAGTTTTGGTCTGATGGTCAAATGCTCATCTTTGCTAAGCTGTGGGGAAAAATATAGGATAGATTTGGGATTACAAACATTACAATACCAACCTAGAACTTCATACAAAAAAAACCCATTCATTTTACAATTTTTAGGCTGAATTCTGCTCTTACACAGATAATGTTGCTGTTTTATCTGAAATACTAGCAGCCTGATCTTTTTCTTTCCTTGTAAGGACAGCCATTCAGGCAGACCCGTATCCTGTCTCCAGGAATCAGTGGCAGAAATTTACTGAAGGATGTAAGAAGACAAAAAAACGTAAAGCGGCATTTCGCTAATGCAGATCTCAGTTTAACGATTTGCAATTGAAGAACTTCCCAAAGCAAAGGAGCTACTCTTGCTTTTAACAGTTTTTCATGGATTTTTCTTCCATGAATTTATCTAATTGCTTTTTTGAGCGTATGCAAACTGTTGGCACATGCAATTTTCTCTAGCAAAGGCTCACCATGTACAGAAGCACCTCTCTGTGTGTGATTTGAACCTGCCATCTGCATTTGATTTGAGCCTACCAGTTATAAATTTGGTGCCCCCTAATCTTTTTCTGGAACAATCAGCAAACACTTGTTTTGCTTCATCTTCTACACAAGATACACGGTTCTCTATCATATCTCATCTTGCCTGTCTCTTTTTCAGGCTGAACAATCTTTGCGTATTTAACCTCTCCCTGAAACAGACCTACATCACTGATTTTAAAAGGCATTACACATCAGGGAAATAAATTAGGAATGCTGCTTCCAAGACACAGTACTATCGTGTTTATCAGACCTCGTTATTGAAACTTTTAGTGTAATTGTCCCCTATTAATTTTTTCACCCTAATTCAATATTGCAAGGTTGTCATGATAATTAGTCGCCTGGACATGGTATCTGCTTTCTTATCACCAATGGTTATGACAATACGAAAAAGCTAATAATAATATTTCACTCAACCATGAAAAATATTATTACATGCCCCAGGCTGCCTTTAAAATCTTTACTAGATTAAATTCAGATTACATTTAAACTGCAGATATACAAAAGAAATTTCCTTAAAATTGCAAAATGCTACAGGAGGACAATTTAACAGAAGAAATTAAGCTTCGTTTATTGTATTTTTTTGTCCTTCATTTGAATTTGAAAGCAATAAAAACATGTTTTCATAGACAAGCAACTAAAAATAGGAAACTAAGTTGATAAATTAGGCATGTATCTAGTTACCTACTTAGAGAAATAAAGAATTCACCAGCAACAGGGCTAAAAAAAGTCATTCGGCTCCTTGCTTTTAAAATCTAGCCCATAATAACTCACAACCGTAGTAAGACATTGCAAGCTATGTGATTCATACTGCAATTGACTCATTTTTCTTCTGTAAAGTGAGTAGATGCTGGCTTTCTACCGTTCTGTCTTTAGGGTTGGCACATCACCTTGTGATGATGCAGCACAAAGAATCTGTCAACTTATATGCATGGTTAAATTAGGGACTGTCATAGTGTAATACACAACAGGCACTGGATGTTACCTGCTGACACACAGCAGCTGCCAAATTTCCTCCTGCGCTATCGCCAGAAATTGCAATTCGACTTGGGTCAACTGAATACTCAGCTAAGACATCAGGCTGCAAAAAATGCTTAGTAGCACGAAGAGCATCGTGGAATTGCTCTGGGAAGCACACCTCTGGTACCAGCCTGTATCTACAAAAGAAAAGAGATGAGAGACAATTATTACCACCAATGTACCTCTCTTTCAGGATTAATAGGTGATATCAGGTATTCCTTAATGGCAAATAACTATTTCATTAAGATAAATATTACAGGAAAAATATGAGGTGTGTAATACTTATGTAAGACTTAATCTTATAATTAATGCTCTAATTCTGAAAGATTAATATGAACCTACTAGATATGAATAATACCAAGATCGTATAAAATTGTGCAGCACTTTCCTAGGATTTCCCAATGGAGGATTTCATCATACATTATAAAAATGATTAAATATTTAAAACACCCTTGGCAAGGAAGTCATTACAGTCAGGCTGTGTTTGACCCAAATCCCCACCTTAACTAGTATGAGGGAGAATGTGTCATATACACCCAACAGATTCCACTGAGCCAAACACCTAAGCAGTTCTGTTTCCCAAATTCTCACTTATGCTCAGGAGAAAATGAACCTTGCTACACCTCCGTGCCATGAAATGAACAATAGCCAAGAAGTGAAGTAATAGCAATTTGTTCCAATGCAACAGATTCTATATGTCCTCTCCTTTATTGCAGAGAGGAGCAGGAATATGCCCATTGCACAGGTGGAGAGACTGAGGCACCGAGAGAGAAAACAGTCTGCCCAGGAAGAGCCAGCAGCTAAGTCCCATTCATGAGATTTTCTCAGTTTCTAAATAACAGTGCAGAAGTCTGTTCATATTTACTCAATAATATGTAATATAAGAGTTGTTACTAGGCCTTATGGTACAAAGTATGCCTTCTGCTTGTAGCTTTTCAAACAACAGATTTTACAAATTCTGAGCAGAGCCGAGCAAAACAGGCAAAACAAAATCCAGTTTTCTGATTCCAAACATTTTCTTTAGAATCTAAGCTAAAAAAGTCTCATATGCAGAATAAATTTTAAACTTAAGTTACGCAAAAAGTGTTTCAAACTCCAGATCTGACCTGCTTTCAGAAAGCAAGCTATACATTGCATCAGCTACAAAGGACTATGAGAGAGTCCTTTGGGAACTCCTTGCAAAACCAGGTAACAGACTACGCATATATCATGAAAGTGAGACACGGAATTAAACCAATGAGAAATCTAATTAGACTTCACTAATTGAGTACAAACGTCTTGACTGAAAAATATAATAGCTAAGGAGGAAAGGTAAACAATAACTCAGAGAAACAGGCAGAATTATACCACCATAAATCAGAAAAGGGAACTTTTCAATACTGTGATTGCTGCTCATCTGGAATAATCAACAGCTCCTTTTTTACTTTTCATTGTTTCTACTAATAAACAACAAAGAAGTTAAAAAACGCAACCCTTTAAAGTATGTTATAAGTATCGAATGAGTAACATCAACTCCATATAATTAAGTTGCAATTAGATCACAAAGCTTGGTGTGTAATCAACTGCAGGTGGGAAACCTGAGTAGTTATATCAGGTGATTGGGTTTGCAACAGAAAATATTGAAGTTGACAGTAAGGATGGCAAAAGTACTAATCAAGCTGGAGTCATCTAGGTAATGTAGTTAGCTAGTTGAGAGGTTTGTTTACCTTGGAATTGTTCAACGAGTTAGAAAAAGCAGCCCTGCTTCTCTGTTGTCTGGCACCCTGGCAGTCCTCTGCTCTTGAGCGGAGTACAAGGCTTAAACAAGATGACTGGAACAGTGAGAGACTGAGAGAGCAGCAGGAAACTGCCAGACTCCGCAGCGTATGCTGGTTAATGAGTAGGGGTAACATGATTTGATAGTTTTCATGTTGCAGACCCTCGCTCAATATGACTTAGAAACTGTGGTTTATAGACAGACCTCGGGGGGGGGGCAGTAATACATATATTTTAATGTTTTATATACACATAAAAACTTTGGGGTTTATACATATATATACAAAAACATACCTTGCAGCAATGGGAGCGGCCAAGCGGCCACTGAGGATGGGAAAACTCCCTCTTACTACATAAGGAGGGAGAGAGATGTGGGGTTCAGCCTTCCTTCAGGTATATATCACGTCCAAATGCGTGTGGGTTTTTTGCTTGATTGTTTTTAAAGTTCACAAGTATTTACAGAATCATAACTTGGCATTTGAGTGACCTCAGGTTTTAGCTGCACTCCTTACATGTGGATACAATTGCAAGATGCACTAAAATTTGCAATTTAGTATTTGTCCAACTGAATTAAGCGCTACTCTCTTTTCCCACATTTCTGCCTTCTAAAATGACCTCTAAAATAATTAGAAACCCAAAAGAAGTTTTGATACCATTCCAATTTGTTGCAATTTCAAAAGGGTAAAGATATCAGACTAGTAAAGAGAATTATTATCCAAGTTAAAGCCTTATACACAAGCCAGTAACAAGGGAAAAGCTGAAAGAACTACGTTACATATATCTAATACCTTCAAATTGCTCAATCAGTTTTAGATTACTCACTCAACTGAGACAACGACAGCGTTGAGAGATTCAGCCATGATTCTGCAGAGATTGTTATAAAGGCTTGTTCCTGGAATGAAAGGACGTAAGTGTTACAGACATGAACCATTTATGTCAATAGTTGCAAAGCCATATGTAAGCCTTCTCAGAAAAATATAAAGACATCATACAAATACAAACAAAGTAAACGAGATCAGTTTGCAATAGATTAAGTGCCAAACACACACTGTAGCAGAAGGAACATAATTCACGCCTTGAAGTCGTGCAGTCTAATGCTTTCTTTCTCATCTGTTTCTTGGTGACTTGGGCCATGTAATTTCATCCACCTATCACAGCTCTCTCAGTTGGGCAAAATTTAAGGTACCCAGTGGCTTGGGGGCATTAGCATCCAGAGACAGTTCTCACTGTATGAGTCACTGCTGCTTGTTCATTTTATTATAGTATGCATTGCTTTGACTCAAATGAGTTGCCCTATTAACGTCAACTGAACTACTCATTTAAGGGAGGATTAATCACAGCTATCCTATTTATCAGTGGACTGATTTTCTTTAATTTTATTCCTTTCCAGTTACTTAATAGTTGGTTCCCGGTACTATAAAATATACTAAGACACTAAATGTTTTCTAAAGTATCTAGTCTTCGAATTTAATATTCGGCTGTAACATTTGTGCCATTAACTTCCGCATCTTGGACTCGAGGATGGCATGTGACATAGTTGAGCTACAGTCATCCCAACAAAGCGCAGTAATTTAATATAAACTTTTTGCACAAGAAGAAGCAAACTCTTACAGCACAAATGAGGTGGGCAGGATGCTAACAAACATCCCTTAGGCAGGCTTAAGAAAACTCAGCTCAGAGCACAATTCCTCTGTAGGAAGAGGAGCAAAATTTTTAACTGCAACAGGACTATAGGACAAAGAGACTGGGATTTCCAAAGGCTAGGTTTTTAAAGTTATTTAGGAACTTAAATCTCACTTAAATCATGGTGCAAGTGACTTATACACGCACAGTCTGAAAGCAATCAATACAGTCTTAGTTCTGGAACATTTCAGAAAACCCCATTAATGTTCTTTTTCTAAAGATGAAGCCATAGATTGCATCAGGGCTGTATGGATTTCATGATGTCACAGAAGCAATGGGGAAGGAAAAGAAGCAAAGACTCCTATTGGATCTGGATCTTGGAGCAGCCATGAGAACCACATGTCCTTTCTCCTCCCAAGGTTTTTCTTCTCCTATACAATGTGGTAGGATCAGTGGTTAGCTTATTGTTGTCTATAGCTGTACATTCCTTTCTCTGATCACGTTTGTGGCTTCCAAGTTAACTGGAGTACATAGCATTAATTTCCAAGGCAGTTTCTGCTAGTGGTGGCAGTGGTTCCCTAAGGAAGGTGACCAGACCACGGGACAGGAACCCACCTCATCACGCTGCCCGTTGTCTGTGATCAGCAGCATGTATTCCAAGTATATGGGATTTAAGAGCCAAACATTAGCAATGCTGTTACATGCAGTGTTGTTCAGCCCACTCGTGTACTAATTATTGTGTGAAAATGGGGCAAAACCCTTACATGTAGTCACTGGATCCCAATTACCAAGGATCGACTTTTACTCAGGACCATAGAAAACAGGGGACTGACCCAAACAGCCCATCCAGGCATCCCAGGAATTTAACCAGTAAGCTATTTTGTCCTCTCAGGATGTAACTAAATTGACCTTTTGGTCCTTTTACGGCTCATGTGCAGATAAGATATGCATTTTTTCTGGGTGTTCGCAGTATTTTTGCCCTCTCCTTCCTTAGAGCTGATTTAACAGAGTGGAGACAGTTACTACCAAATTCAGGTCTGTCCTAGCTAAACTGTCATCCCTGGCAGGAAAACCAGCTTTTGGCTTCTCCTGCTAGGAGGAAGCCAGAGCAGAATCCTATTTAATTACTGGCAGACACATACTTGCACTTGCCAAGGCCCAGCCCCCTCCGTGGATGTAAACAACGCTGCGCTTGAGCCTTTCATCTCGCTTCGCAGGCGGTTCAAACACTCTGACTTCCACGCCATCAAAAACAGCATCCGTGATGTTAATGTCTTCGGAGGAGACAGACTTCAGCTTGTCAAAGGTACAAATCAAATAATTCAGAACTATCAAGTGATGGCTGAGTCTCAGATAGTGAATCAAGTGACACTAGGGTGGGAAAAAGAAAAAAAAAGCAAGAAAAAAGGAGATTTTTGTTACTTCAGAGCATATCATATGATACTGCATTGATGTTTAATGCAACTGTCTTCAAAGGGCAGGTGCTATATGAAAACGAATACGGATTCTTAGAATATTCACTGGAAAATGAATGATTATCAAAGACCTCTAATGCTTTTAAAGCTGTATTAAAACAAAACCCTGTCCATAAAAGATTCTCTGTTGTCAAAATAAATCAAACCCCGAGCACTACGTGGATCAAGACAACTGTGAACGAGCACTCAGGTCCTTGCCTTTGAAAGATACCTCTGAAAGGAGATGAGCCTCACCAGCGTGCTCTGCTATGGGACCTGTGAAGCTCCTCAGACCAGTGCCAGCAGAGGGCAATACCACACAGGCAAAGTGTCTGTGGTGGTAAGGTATCAAAAATGCAGATTATTTCTCTTATTTCACCCCAAAGCATAAGTCTTTCCACTCCCAAATTAAGAAAGTTCGCAAGGATTGCAAAGAAATCTGAAAACAGGAATGGTCTTAAAGGAATATAATGCTTATTTATTGGCTTGCTGTGTATTTACTTGCTGAACTGGGAAGGATCCGAAATGCTACCCAAGAACTGTGGCAGGTTAGTGATTTTTTTTTTTCCCAACCCCTGAGATTAGAGTGTGTTACTTTTTGTTGTGGGGGTGTGTAAAACACTACAAAAATGAAGAATGGTCTGATATTTCTGTCCACTTATGGTAGAAGGAAGAAGATTTTATCCCTTTTGACTATCCCCAATTTTTTTTTTTTTTCCACGTTTATTATTTAAATTTTGCCGTGAGTAGATTAAAAACCTGTTTCTCTCAGCAAACAGTACTGGGATCCAAGGCACTCCTCCTGCCTAAATGGTCACAACCTGCTCCCCATGCATCCCCTGTACACTATTTGTAGGGCATACTTGTTCCCGTTCCCTAGCTGGGGCAAAAGGGGCCGCAAAGGGTAAGCCAGAGGACCACAGGGACCTACAGTGTCCAGAGCAGTCGTTAAAAAGTATTGTAGGGTCTTTCTGCTTTTGCAAACTTAATTATCCTAGTGATGAAGGCTAAAAATTGGGTAATCAGCTAAGCCTTTTGGACAACTTAATCAAGGCAATGAAATTGGGAGGTAAAATTAATACATATGCCTAATGAATCTCTTTAGGACCACTACCATAAAGAAAACTGTCAGCTGTGACCTTTTATTTTACATACAGGTAACAGATACCTGGAAGAAAAAGTGTACTCTTAGGAGCTATGCAGCTTGTCTCCGCACAACTGTTTTACTGTTTTAATTCTGCTAGTACCACCAGCACAGTGCAAACCCGCTAGTATGAATTAAAGATGCTGACACCTGAGTGAGCAGGGTCACCCAGGTACCGTCTGACCGCATTCACGTTGTGAAGAACGGATAGTTGCCATTAGTTTAACCTGTTCCAGAACAAAGCGGAAGCCAAATATGGTTCCTTGGGACAGACATGATTTTGCAAGTAGGAGTTTCACAGTCTCTTTCTTGTTTCTGTTATCTGTTCACAAGGACAGCTATTTCATTTTCTTGTCTTGGGTTTCTTTATTGTACTCCTGCAGCACCGTTTTCAAACCATTCTCAGTGCCAAGTTTCGGCTTCTCTGCCAGGAGCATCTGCTCACAGCAAAGGAAGGGTTAACAGAGGCAAACACAAACCTTGGAGGAAAAGCAAGTTTTGAAGCATTCAGCAGCATCCATGCCAAAGAAGATCTGCCTCCTTAGGTCTACAGCCCCAGCTCCTTACATGTGACTTTTTAATCTGACGTAATTAGTTTGAATGTAAAAAAAACGAAATACTGGATTTCAGTCACATGCTGTATAGAAAAGGCCCTGCACAGCCCCACTTCCACTCCAGATTGCTGGAGAAAAAGAGAGACTTTGATAATTTTCCCCAAAAAGTCTATGCCAAATACAACGGGCTGCTATGCAAGCAGGGAGAGGAACCCACTTCCAAAACAAGAATTTACAAAAACAACTTTCTTTTCTTGCTTTGGCTTGTGGTAACGTCACCCTGTTAAGATAGTTTGGTGGGAATCCAAATTTTAAAATGTTTACTGCTTTTTGGATGGAATATCATTTCTTTATACTGCAAAGCTTTTTTCTGGGAGAAGAAACACAAAATATCCACCCAGCGGGGAGAAATGCTGAATTCACAAGGCTGTTTGCATCTCCGAATTTCAGCTCGTGCTTTTCTTCCACCATCACTTAAAAATTCCCCACAGGAAAACCCAGTTTGAGTTTGAAATCTGAAGAGCAACACATCTATTAATAATATGGCACACAATTTGTTGGGCTGCCACTGATGTAACCAACTAAAGATCTGATCCTGTGTGCCCCATGGAAGCTCCTGGGGAAGGTAACCACTGGGAATCAATTTTAGAAATACTGCCAGGGAAAACAATGTTTTTGTAGATTTTTTTTAGCGTGACTGTGCTGTAATAGACATCCCATTTTATGTCTCTCCCACTTTACTTCACATTCTTTGCAGACGAGATTACCACATGTTCCCTGGAATCAGAAATGTTTTATTTTCAAGGCTAGTTATTAGGTCTGTTTACTGAGAAGTGTTTTGCCCTGTTCTTTAAAGCAGAGCACCGTGGCGATATGCAGGTTATCACGCCCTTTCATGCCTCCCCCCCCCCCATAATAGACAGCTCTTTCCAAGAATCCCAAAACCTGGAAGAGATGCTTTGTACACCAGGGCACAAAAGCAACAGTCCTCATTTTTTTGTTAGGCATAAGCAGGTTTTTTTGCCAAGCACTTATCAGACAGATTCGTTGGAAGTCTATCTATCTAATCAGCCTATTTGGTTGTCATTTATTAGGCACAGGATTGCACATTTTGCTGGCAAAGAGGTAATCTTGTCCAAAGTTCTTACAAATAAAATTCTTGTATATACTTTTTCTCTATAAATAAATACTTAAAATAGATAGATAATATCTTATCACTCTGTAATAGAACTACTGGCAGAAGAAGATGTGTTTCATAGTTGGCTAACTCTCTTCTAGGATGATGTTGCCACCCAGACTGCCCATCCTGTTGACTGTGCTTCCCTGGCATCTCTCTTGTGTTGGCACTAACTGACATGAAGCCTCAGAGCATGATGACCTTGCTGCACCAGCTCAATGTAAACCCAGCAAAACCAGAGAAACAACAAGAAACTTCAGCCAGGTCACCATCTTACTGATAACACAAGGCAGGAAAGAGGGAGTGGGCGAAAGGATGGGACCAGCCCTTTTGGCCACAGTCAACAGTTGGATTGGCTTAAATGCATTATAAAAACTGTATCTGGTCATCTCACGTGAGCAATAATTGGTTTGGTTTTTGCTGGTATTTGTGATTTTACCACCCTCACTGTGAGTGTGCAGGACTGTTACAGGCTATCAAATGCAGCACTTAAATATATGGGAATTACACATGTGTGTGGATATGCAAAAGAAACGGTGATATTCTCTGGTGAAAAGGAAGAGAAGCCAGTGCTGTAATAATAACAGCTAGCAAAAAGGAAGAGAAAGCAGAAGAACAAGGGGGAAATTAAGAGACTACAGAAAAAAGTAAAGACAAACTCACAGAAAAGAGATAGTACAAAGATGAAAGCCCTGTGGGCAATTAGCCCAGAATTGCTGTGCCAGCCACAGGCACGGCACATCACTCACTCTGGGTCACAGCTACAAGTTTTCCCACGTAGCAACTGATTTTTATGCATCCCTCTGAATAAACACTTCTGTTTTCTGAACAGGTAGCTCAGGGGAAGCGTGGCTGGTGAGCTTCAGGGCATCACGGGCTGCACCGAGTAATGGGCTGACACGCAGTGAGAGCTCAGCGGCTGGGAAGCGGGGCAGAGCGGGATGAGCAGGAGGACCCCAGGAGAGGAGGGTTAGGCAGGTTGGCGAGGCAAACCAGAGTATTTTGTTAGCTTTTGAGCCAATTCAGCAAATAACCACTGTGGGCATATCACAGTACCCCTACCGACAACCTACAGCTCATTTTTGATTGCAGCTTTTCATTTTGGGGCCGTTGGCTCCTTGTGACCCACGGCTGCCTCGGCAGCACTGTGATTTACACTCACACTGTAATGCTCCCCAGCTCTCCAACACGTCAGGCAGAGCAACCACTGCAGCCACAATCTCCTCCTCTTTTGCCAGGACATCCTTGTCATGGGGGGTTTCAGGTAGGGACAACCCAGGGAACTCCTAGAGACTAAACTGTTCAAGACTGCCACCTTCCTCCTGGTAAATTCTTCGCTGAGGGGCACCAGATGTTGAAAGATTTAATTGATGTAGGAGAAAATTTTCAATAAATGAAGAAAGAAGTCAGAGTTGTGATAAAAAGCAGACAGAATGAAGAAAGAACTGCTCTAGAGAGGCACCATTACTTCACGTTTAATCACCAATATCTGTCCCTAAACTAGTAGGATTCTTCTATTGGCTCATCAGCTAGTAATTTCAGGAAGAATCCCAAATGCTCACTGCTCCTATGATTATCTCCCTCATGGACTTGTACTCCATATTAGTCATGTGTTCTGTACTACAAAACAAAACAAAACGAAAATTTCTGTTGCTAACTTCTATTAACCTCTAACAGTACTCAGTACATTGGAATTCTTTGTCCTCGTATGCCTTCCACAGCTGACAGCGCCGGGCTTCACATCTCTGACCTCTAGCCATGAAATGATTGCAACAGGTCGCGTTCAGGCAGCGCACAAAGGCAGCGTGCCGCTAAAGCCAAGCCGAATGCATGAGCTGCTTCCTCTACTGCCTTCGCAGCTGGGCACACCCCGCGTCCCGCGCTGACTTTTCAGGCCTCAGCGGGATCAGGAATTAAGCAAACAGCTAAAGCTCTTTTTTCATACACCACTACTTGGGACTAAGCCAAATCTCACTCATGATTCAAACAAGTACTGATGCTGGAACTGTCTAAGACTAAACTTCCTACCTTAGAAGATGCAG